TTTGAGGATGAATTTGTCAGGACAAACCTCGTTTTTGCTGGAGTGTTGCTTTGAACTGGAGTGCCATGCGTGTTGTTCTGTACAACCCAGACAAGCAGATGAGCTGTGAATGGCCAACTGAGTTAGAGATGAGTGTGTGCAGGCTTTATAGTTCAGGTTAGCAGAACGTAGCAGCTGCTGATGCAGTTGGTGCTGTATTTTAAGGTGTGCACCTTGCTAACCCGTGGTGCTAAAGTCATCTCTCGATTATATTCATGTAGATACTGAAGCATAGTTTCTATCCAGGCTGTGCTAGTCTCTTGCTTAGCATCGTGACGAAGGTTCTCAGATTTTTTCATTTCATGGGGTTCTGGAGTGGGAAAGGCTGAGAACTGTGCTGGAGGGGTGAGCGTGCTCACTGTGCTTTGCTGGAAAGGTAGTCTGCCACTGAAATGCTGGTATGGGAGCTTGACTGATGTGTAAAGGTCTTCGAGGCGTGTTAACTTTGAAAGAAGTCTTGTAATTCATGCTAATAAACAGTATATCATGATTAAGCTCTTAAAATGTACTTTCTGTGTTTGAGCAAGCCGTGGTACAAAAGAAATGGCTATTATAGCCTTCATGTAAAAAATAAAGGGATTTGTCAGCTGTGTTTGTGAGCAAGTGAGGCTTTAATAAACCTTCAGTCTTAATGTTAGTTCTGATCTTCCCCTCACTCATGTATTTCTTATCTTCCTGTTTAGACAAGAACCTTCTTGAAGTGTAAGGCATAAGTTTATAGGGACTACGCCTGTCTTCTTGTAGTTCATTAAAAAAACCCAACCAATCAAAAACAACCAAACAGAAAAATCAAAACGAAAAAACCCAAGAAACCTTCCCCTCAGTACTGTTTTTCATGTGGTATAACTTAAATGCTTGACACGAGTAACATAATAAAAGGACAAGTAGCAAGTTGAATGGCTTTGGTGCAGAGTTTTTAATGGATGAATTAGTTGTGCTTCCTGTGCACCTGAGCTAAACAGTGTAGTTCCTCGTGAAATCAGAAGTTACGTAGCTGAACACAGCATTGATGGATAATCACAGGGAGGTTGGTTATGGTAGTTTGAGGAGGTGTCCCTTTGCCAGAAATTGCCATTCCTGTTTTCCTGCTCATTTCAGCTGTTCCTAAGCATGTTTTGAGTTAACTAGACTGTGAATTTATAATTAATTGGATGGAGTTATACTTAGATAGTCTGTGGGTGGCAACCTCTGTTAAAGGCACGGAATAAGATACAGAGAATAGTAACATCATGGCTGTTTAATCGGCGATTGTCGGATTGAAGCTGAGATCAAGTTTCTCTTTTCAAGATGCCATATGCTATCA